CTACTATGAAAATTGAAACTGAACATTTTTTTATGTTAAACATGGTTGAATTAGATGAGATCTGATTTCACTGACAATATAAAGTAGACAGTATTGGATGGTATCAGTGACATATTTTATGATATAAACATTGCAAACCCAAAATAATAAACAAGAGATAATAAATATATATGTCCTCATTTTGGGCCAGCTGGCATGATTCAGATATTGTGATATGATGCAGTTTCTTAACCATGTAATTACTTTGGCCTAACCCCTGTCCAACATTGTATTGGTATGCATGGCCTAACCCTATCAAACATTGTATTGGTATGCATGGCCTAACCCTATCAAACATTGTATTGGTATGCATGGCATAACCCTATCAAACACTGTATTTGTATGCATGGCCTAACCCTATCAAACATTGTATTGGTATGCATGGCCTAACCCTATCAAACATTGTATTGGTATGCATGGCCTAACCCTATCAAACATTGTATTGGTATGCATGGCCTAATGTATTTGTATGCATGGCCTAACCCTATCAAACATTGTATTGGTATGCATGGCTAACCCTATCAAACATTGTATTGGTATGCATGGTCTACACCAAACATTGTATAACAAACATTGTATTGGTATGCATGGCCTAACCCTATCAAACATTGTATTGGTATGCATGGCCTAACCCTGTCAAACATTGTATTGGTATGCATGGCCTAACCCTGTCAAACATTGTATTGGTATGCATGGCCTACCCTGTCAAACATTGTATTGGTATGCATGGCCTACCCTGTCAAACATTGTATTGGTATGCATGGCCTAACCCTATCAAACATTGTATTGGTATGCATGGCCTACCCTGTCAAACATTGTATTGGTATGCATGGCCTAACCCTATCAAACACTGTATTGGTATGCATGGCCTAACCATATCAAACATTGTATTGGTATGTATGGCCTACACTGTCAAACATTGTATTGGTATGCATGGCCTACCCTGTCAAACATTGTATTGGTATGCATGGCCTACCCTGTCAAACATTGTATTGGTATGCATGGCCTAACCCTGTCAAACATTGTATTGGTATGCATGGCCTACCCTGTCAAACATTGTATTGGTATGCATGGCCTACCCTGTCAAACATTGTATTGGTATGCATGGCCTAACCTGTCAAACATTGTATTGGTATGCATGGCCTACCCTGTCAAACATTGTATTGGTATGCATGGCATACCCTGTCAAACATTGTATTGGTATGCATGGCCTACCCTGTCAAACATTGTATTGGTATGGCATGGCATGGTATGCATGGCCTACCCTGTCAAACATTGTATTGGTATGCATGGCCTACCCTGTCAAACATTGTATTGGTATGCATGGCCTACCCTGTCAAACATTGTATTGGTATGCATGGCCTACCCTGTCAAACATTGTATTGGTGTACATGGCCTACCATGACAGACATTGTATAATTGCCTGTGTCCTACCATGTCAAACACTGTACTGCTGTGTGTGGCCTACTCTTACAAACATTCTATCTGACTGTGGCCTAACCCACCCAATCACAGGTGCTATTACATTTCACCTTATGCATTTTCATATCTGTATATAGCCAAGTGACCTACATTCATCCAGAGATGAGCTACAACGTATTGGAATCACTACCTCTATCTACTGGTAAGCCAAATCGTATAATTCTTTGCTGTTACACACAACAGAACTCTATTCTTCCCCCTGTCAACTCACTTGAATGATGTTTGTGACATATTCACTTGAAGTGCCTGTAGGTTTACAAACACATGTCCGCATTGATCATACAATACAACATGCAGTTTTTAAATGCATACAAAATTTATTGTGATTATAAATAATGCTGTCTTATGAACTCAACTACAGTGTTATGTATTTGACATTTCATATTTTGTTATTACATTATTTTTGTGTTCTGAAACATTCACTTCACCATTTGACTAATTCTCAATTTATGAAATCTACTGTTACACAATGCATTTCTTTCTAAAACCGGGTTCGATCCCCCACATAGGTACAATGTGTGAAGCCCATTTCTGGTGTCCCCTGCCATGATATTGCTGGAATATTGCTACAAGTGGCATAAAACCAAATTCACTCACTCACTCACTCTTTCTAAAAAATAATTTTCTGATGCTGCAGTTGAATAGTGCTGGTTGTAATTACTGTTATATAATCTAGATTGTTTATTTTTTCATAAAATACATATTTTAACGTGCCCTGTGACAGGTATATTCACCAATGGGATGTTCGTATTATGTGCTTTTTGACAGGTGCACACATCCTTGCTGAACAGGTCTCTCTCTCTCTCATCATATAACCATCACACAAGATAGGAGACATGTAATATTTTCACAGCCTCTGCAATCTATAGTGTCAGGGGCAAAACCTGTTTAGCTATGGAAGTTTAAGGAAATGGATTCCTGATGTGGGGGTGTACCTGTCATATATAATCCCTTAAACCAACTGAAGTACTCTAAGCTGCTTGACGTAAAAATACTTCGTAGTTATCATATCACTAACAAGCCTGAACCAACCAACAGCTAAAAAAAGAAATTATTTTCAATAATTAAAAATCTGGATGAACATTATGGAGTATTAATATTTAAAAATGATGTTTGGGGTTATCAAAATATATATATCAGATTAACGTCAAACCAAAGATATCCCTTAATTCCTCTTATGGAACATAGTGTTGGAATCTTGACAAAACACATAGCTTGACCTTTTAATATCAATAATAAAAATTAATACATTTTCTGAAAATGGCTATTTCTCCTGTTACTAGTTTCAGATATACAGACAGGTGCTAATTTAGACTTACATTAAGTCTCAGAATTCAAAAATTGTTTTGAAAATGATTTAGTTTTATTGTCCTTTCATATCTCTTCATTTTCAGAAAGTGAAAGAACTGTTGTCTTGATTAGAACTTCTGGTTACCAGTATTTTGTTTCATTGTTTGTTTGACGGACTAGCTCTCATACCAAGACTGTAATTACAGTACTGACTGTAAACAAATAGTCTGTATCACAGTCCCTGAACCACATTATTTTCCCTACTGCCGAGCCTACACTGCAATGCTAAAGCTCTAAGTGAAGCAAGTCTAGATTTCCTCAGTTTCTGAATCTCCCAACTCACTGGGGCTCCTTTTGGTTTAAATGAATTTATTTGTTACTGTCAAAAATATATATATTCAGGGACTTAGTGTTAGTCTCGCAAACAAACTGCAGAATTTTTCTATGACAGGGAAACAATATTCCATAATCCCCACTTTGTGAATGTGTTAATTTTACTCACAACTTAAGATCGTCACGATATGGCTGCAATATTGCCGATGTGACGTTAAATATTAACTCACTCACTCACAACTTAAGACAGGCAAAAGTCATTTGTTTCTCATTTCCGTTTGTTCCATTCTTAACTCCACTTGACATGCATGTTTTTGGATATTGTATTGTGTCCACGTGTTCACTGTGCCTGGATGTTGTCAATGATGTTGCTGTGTGCCCCGACTTCCTCTATCAGTGTCCACATCATGTCTACAGCTGCCATCATCCTCCCAAAACATATTTTTTTCATCCCAATCAAAACCACAAAAATGTTCAAATCAAAACTACATAATAAATTTCCTAGTAAGCTTGGACTTAAAAAAATCTTTATTTAATGGATTCCAATTTGGATGAATCGTTTACATGTCTGTATGGTAACCTCCAGGTGCAAATATTTGCTTAACTCCCCTTCTTCCTTGCACAGCACTGTAAATAAGACAAGTATAAGTCTTCATTGATTCTCTGCCCTCAGGTAATAAAGGTACATTAATATTTCCCACAAAAAATCAATTTCTTTTCATACTGCTAATCCATAGATAATTATTCCAATAAATTCTGAGGATAACGCCCTCAATTGTGTTGTCCCAGTTTAGGAACTGAGACAGCTTAAAAAGCTTTAGAATAACATGTAAAACCATTGATTAATTTTATGATAATCTGTAGTAATCAAATGACACGAAACAGTGAAACTGCATTTGACCTTAGTCAGCAATAATCAGTGAAAGAATTAATGTTATGTAATGATGCCGTCGCCATCATACCCGTGAAGATCCTGGTTAGAATTGGTCTTCACCAACCCATGCTTGTCATAAGAGGCAACTAACAGGATTGGGTGGTCACTGACTTGGTTGACACATCTTATTGTTGTGTAGATCGATGCTCATGTTGTTGATCACTGGATTGTCTGGTCCAGATTCAATTATTCATAGCCTGCCACCATATAGCTGGAATATTGCTGAGTGTGGCATTGATTAACAAAGAAACAAACAAAAGTCAGTTGTGTCATGTCTATGACATGTCAGTCTCTACCAGACAATCCAGTTCTAGTTCATCACCAATGATGTATGGCCCTTCCTGGCTTTCGGCATTATTGGGTACAAGTCTGGTGAATTGAAACAAGCATCATACCAACTAAGTCTAACAAGCTAACATACAAAGAAGCTACCTGTACAGAGCCAAATACTACTGAGGTAAAGTCTGTAAACATAATTCTGGGAATAAAATGATGTATGAAAAAAATAAAAATAAAAATCATACCAACTAACAGACCCTCAATTTGAAATCTATTAAAAACTCATGACTCTACAAATACAGTTTTAAATTATTTTTTTGTTTACATTTACAAAAAATAAACATCACTGACAATATGCACTTTTGAATCCTTGTTCTGCCATGACATTGCTGGAATATTTCTAAAAGCAGTGTAAAACCATTTCCTCCTTTACTTACATTGTTGCATCACATATTACATTTGTCGGCCATTTTGCCTGTGAACAAAGAAACTTGGTTGTCAACATGGACAGACTATTCACTCTTCATAGCAAGTGATCTGCATGAAAATTGATTATACTTTGGCGCAGAATTGTACATCCAATACATCCTGTACATCCAACCAAACTTCACTATTTGATACTCACAAAACTGATGCAGCAAGACGTGTGTTCAGTATTGTCAGCTTCTGGTGCAGAGATTTGATGGGAGGGTGACCATTTTCGGTCTGGCTGACTCCAGTGTTTCTAGGACTTCCATCCTGATCCACACTGAAATACATATAACATATATACATATAGTAAGTGAGTGAGTTAGATTTCACATCACTTTCAGCAATATTTCAGAAATATCATGGCAGGGGACACCAGAAATGGGCTTCAAAATATATACATATAAGTCATGTCTATTTAAGCAAGAGACTTTGTTTTAAATTCATCTGTTCACAGGGTACCCAGTAGGATTAGATGGTATATGATTAACCTTCCAACAACTCATTGGAAGTTTGTTTTGTATACTCCTGATGGAGTTGAGAATGTAATTCAAATATCTGTCATGGTGGAAGTATAAAACAAATTGAATACAATATTGCAGCCATTTGATGTCTTTTTATGAGTTTGATTATTTAAGCTATATCAGGGAGGAAAATATCATCCAGTATTCATTAGAAGTTTAAGTTTCATAGTGTGAGCATTAATCCAAGTGAATGGAATATTAATATTCCAATTGTTTGGGTTTTTTGTCAAGAACATTCAAATACCATAATGACAGGTATTTCAGTCAATGAAGTCCCTGTGTAAGTTTTAAACTTTGAAACATTTGGTTGATAGTGTGAGTATGATGACATAGGGAATTAACCCTCCTTCATGAACTGTTCACAAATGACAACCAAACGGACATTGTTGCCATCCAGTCATCATTCAAGGTTTAGAATGCTTGAGTGAGTGAGTTGGTTTTATTGCTGCACTGAGCAACATTTCAGTTACATCACAGCTTGCCATGTTTATATGAGAGGAAAGACATTTACCGCTTTGGTAAAACCAAGAGCATGGGTATGGTACTGACCCTCAAAAAGGAACATAAAGAGGTTCCAGTCTGTGATTAGCTAATCATATGTCATCATCCCTGATGACAGGGATTGTGCTCATGCTATCAACTCAGGTTTGCATGGACCAGCCCAATTATATGTACTAACAATCCATTGTGACAAAACTAAAATATACTGACTGCTATAAAACAACATTCACCCAATCATATTTCATGTACACATTTAACAAAATCTCCAATACAAAAATATATGAATTTGAGCCTTTAATGACTTGAAGTCTGGCATGTTTGAACAACAAGTCTGTGACAGATATTGAGTCCAAGAGTCTCTATGAGGTGTCTCAGGCCATAAATATGTCATCTGTATGTTGACAGGCTCAAGTATCCAAGTCATCAACCACCATAAATAACACAGTCTATACCAGAATCACAACACTACAACCAGTTCAAGTGGACACTTAGGATGGCACTTTTATTTGAATTTAAACTCGGTTGAATGTTAAATACTGAATTTGACCTATGGTACAACCACTTCCATTCCTTGTTATTTTGTTATTCCCACATTTTCAAAACTTAGAAGTACCCCTTCAGTCTAGACTAACAACTAGTCTCTGAAGTGAACATATTTTACAGAAAAATGGTTCATAGTAAAGAAAAATCTAGACTTGACACATTTTTTAGACTTGTGTGGGCTTTCTTGGATATATTTGCTTCAGAGTCTGTTTGACAGACTAACTTTAGTCAGACAAAGTTTCTTTTAATGATAATCCTCTTGTCAAAATAATGTTTGAAATGATTAAAATTTAGGATAGTTTTCAAACTTTAAATATATATAAAAAAAATCAGCAAAAAGCGACTGAAAGTCAAACGCAAGATCAGTAAATATACTGAGAGAAACAAATAAAGGAACACAGGAAAATTCAAGGGTTCCTTTAATGTTTTCCAGTTTTCATCACCAGCTTTGAATAGCGCTGTGGAAGGAAATCTAAGAAAATAAATAAAGGAACACTGCCATGAAGTGGTGTTCCCTTATTTGTTTCCCTCAGTATATATTCTCCTACAAACCAAACAAAAAAAGCTGAAGGTTAAATTTCAAACTGTTGACAAGTGGACACTTGTAATCCCTCACACTCATTAAGTAGAAGCTTTGTCAGAAACCTTGAACTCATTTACACCACTTAAATAACTCGGTAATCACAGTTACGAAAAGAGCATCAACTCCACTTCATGTCATATTATATGAAATTGTTATGGGAAGTCAAATAAATATTTCAGCCGAATGACAGTAATTGTATTAATATGTAAAAATACAGGATATGTCATAAAATAGTCTCTCACATAATCAAAGACAGAACAATATACCTCCTGTTACCATCATACAGTTACCTATTGGCGTACAGACTAGACGTAACCTCTTATCTCAATACCAATCAGATTTATTGAATGAGATCGCGACAGATTGGGCAAAGGTCGCGCAAGGGTTGTTTGGCATTTTCGTCATGTCGCCGTCTGATCTAAGCATGTAAATGTCATGTGCGACACGATGAAGTAATAAGAAGGGCGTGTCATTCTTTATCTTTGGCACTGACTTCTCCACTGTTTGCCGGAGAAACATACCATGGATATAAAAGAAGGATCAATTTTAAAACAATCACACTATTATCTTCATTCAAATTAAAGCTATTACAAAATGTTTTTCACATATAACCAAAGTTAATTGTATGTGTGTTTTTATCAAAACTTAAAGACAGTGTTATATATAAAATATTTGTTCTTTGATTTTAAGGACAAAACAGCTAGAAAAGTTTAATTCCAAGTTATAATAATTTTGATTTCATTCAATTGAATAACTACCGGTACATCAATTGTCTTCTCCTTCAAAACCTAATGAGGAAAATAATGATATTATAACAGTTTTCTATATTGCTCAAGAAATTCATGAATTCTTGCAAAATTGTTTTCTCTGTTTTGTTCCCATATACACAAATAATCATCACAGGGTGGATGATAATTATATACAGATATTTTGTAACCCTAACATGCCTGCAAAAATTATGAACAGTTATGAACATTCACATTTTTGAGTGTAACTTGTTGGCTGAAAATTAGCATCATGCATTGCTATGTTACATAACAATAATAGAATCCCACTCACAATGAATTGAAAACATTTTACAGCATAATGTATATCAGATTTAGACTTGTAAAGACTGGAGGCATTTACAGTTATAAATTAAATAAATAATATTTAAATAATAAATTAACATGCTCACTAAATACTGCAGGAATTCATGTTATGAAAATTCTTGTAAGTATTATCATGCTGTTTGTAAAATGTCCCAGCTTCCTGTTGGACTTTAAACACAAAACTCAAACCAGATCCAGTACTAATTTTACATGAATTAAATGTCTCTTAATATATTTTTCAACTCATCTAAAATAAGTTTCAAAAGAAAAACAAAATGCTGATATTATATCAAGATGAACAGCCACAACACGTGTTGACACTGTATATAATATTTCAGTTTGTGTATACACTGCAGGTAATGAACATGATTAACTCTCAGGGTTATGGATTTTAAAAAATGTTTAAATTCTGCCTTGATATCAAAGCAATAATCTCTTGAAATATTTGAACATTGATTTTTTTATTGATTATAGGGCAGGTGATTTAGAATTTGATCCTAAACAAATTGCAACTGAAAGAAAAGCAGCTGTTTTGCATCCAGACATCAGTAAACACCATACAAAGTCTTAGTAAGTCCATGAAGGGTAAAATATTTTAATTTGACTCTAATTAGGTATTACTACCAATTCCAGGTGTACATACCCTACAAATTCCAATGCTTTAATTCATTAAACCTTGGTGTATAGCATGAGCATGCTAACTCTCTGGTGTCATAGCTTCAGTTAACTCTACCATCACAGTTGCGTTATTTTGTTTGTAAAGTTAATAGAATTCCTGACCCTCTCAGTGACCCCCTCCTGCTCCCAATCTGTCTCGGGAGGTGAGCTTGGGCAAGCTGGGCCAGTAAATATTATGAAAACAATAGGCCACAGTATCCTCTGATATCCTGGAATGGACAGCCAGGCGGTGGAGAGAGACGTCTTGAGATTATGTATCTGTGCAAGGCTGACCTTCAGGAAGCATGGGAGGCTTTTTGGGAGATATATCCTCATTTATTTCCCCGACAATACCAACTTATCAGCCAAACAATAGCCTGGATTCCAGCTCGACAGTAATTTGAGATCAGAGTCACTATTTATCTTTTTGCCAAACTTAGAGCAGGTCATCTGAGCTGTGACCTTGACCTTTTACGTTGCTGATGAGATGTTTATTAATGAACATGCTTGTAACACTTGAAATTATTAGGCTCAGTTGTCATGGTTGTGTTCCCGACTGTCTGTTGTGTACATGTTTTACGTGTGATATCAATCGGGGCGAGATTTCATGTTCTGTGACATATGTGACAGAAGATTAAGTCACATGACAGCAGATGTATCCCCCATCTGACTCCAAAACCCTAGAGAATACATTCAAACTTAACCTCAGTCAAGTCTAGAATCACTACATCGCCTCAGCTAGGAAATTATGCATTGTTCTGAGCGCTATTTGGATTTTATATTGTATTTTTCAGATTTATATTTTTCAAAAAAGATAACTGTATTTCAGCGGAGACCATGGTCTCTGGTTTCAGGAAGTAAACATGAGTCTTACATATCATTACCTTTCCATTTCTCTGTATTCTCAGATTTAATGTTGCTGTACAATGCTTCTTGTTTGAACAATGTCATTTTAACTCTGGCATTTACCGAGTTCTGTTCCATGAGCATAAAAATTTGAGAGATTTTACCTCAGAGTGTATATGAACCAGAGTCACATGATCAATCCAATGTTAAAATAATATGTACAGTGTGATCACAAATATAAGTAAAGACCTGAAGTGAAGAAGTTTGATGTAATCAATATATATTCTGATCCTCCTTTTCAATACAAAAAGATTAATTTAGTTGCCATATCGTGAGGAAACGTGATAAGACCTGACAGGTTATATTTTGTATAAATATGTTTTCAATGACAGGCAGGATGCAAATGAATCAGGATTTTAAAATGTTTTTTGGAAAGGAAACCCATTGGGATTCAGTTAGTATAGGTCCTGAGCAACCTATGCTTGTTGTGAAAGGCGATTTTTTTCTAAAAGGATTGAGTGGTCTGGTTCAGTCA